GTTCCACTGGATTGATTGCCTTCTGAGAAATTGCATCGAGAAATGCACATAGCTTCACGGTGGCTAGACGTACATGTGGAGGTAGAATTCCTCTTAAAGCAACCGGAAGCAATTGCGTCATAAGCACGTGGCGTCATCGTGGGACTTTAAGTTTAGGAATTTTTTATCGCACATTTATTATACCCTTTATATTGGAGGAGAATCGATGGGACCTTGATGTTGCTTAGACATTCGAACATCTTTGTCCCTCTCTTCTTTGCTAAGCGTGTAGCTAGCGGGACTTAAGTAATGACGTCCATCACCTGTCTTCTCTCGGATGAAGGTTGTCTTGTTCTTTCATGCCTTCGCAAGTCCTGGCGTGCTTCAAGTGAATCCTTTGGCTTCCCGTACACACCCATGAATCCTAACGGAGTTCACACAAAGATTCTTTGTCGGTGCATCACGTCGATTGCGTTATGGACCTCTAGGACTTGCCAATAGGGTAGCTCCCAAAAGATGGACTTCTTCTTCCACATGGGTGCATGTCCATTAGCATCTTTGGGAGCAGATTCACCGCCTTGTCCCTTTCCAAATACTACTTTCACATCCTTGACCATTATGTAGTACATCTTCCCGGTTGGGTTATGAGGCTTCTTAGGTGGTCCGGCTTACCTTTAAAATGCTTCCCTTTCTTTCTTACTTGGTGGTTCAAAGGAAGGAATCGACGATGGCCAAGGTACACGACCTTTCGACATCTTTTCAAATATATCGTCAAGGTCATCAAAACAATGTGTGCATGCATTATATCCTTTGTTTGTCCCGACCAAAGATTACTTAAAGCAGGCCAATCATTGATGGTTACGAACAACATTGCTCGTAGGTCAAAGTGTTCTTGTTTGTACTCATCCCGCATACGCGTACACCTGGTTTGTTCCATAAAACTAGAAGTTCTTCAACTAATGGCTTCAGATATACATCAATATCGTTGCCAAAGTTGCCTCGGACCTTGGATGAGGATCGGCATCATAATGAACTTCCGCTTCATGCATAACCATGGAGGAAGGTTGTAGATACATAGAGTAATTGGCCAAGTGCTATAACTAGTGCTCTGCTGTCCAAAAGGATTCATACCATCTGTACTTTAAGGCGAACCTTAAGTTTCTAACCTCATTTGCAAACTCGAAAATTCTCTATCTATCGCTCTCCACTGGGACCCATCAATTTGGGTGTCTCAAAGATATTGTCTACCTTACGGTCTTCTTTATACCACCGCAACAACTTTGCGTGGTCTTTATTCTGAACAACGCGTTTTAAGCGTGGTATTATAGGAGCATACCACATAACCTTGGCGAGGATTTTCTTTCTAGGACGTTGTTCACCATCGACGCCACCGGGATCATCGCGCTTTGATCTTATCTCCGCGATGCTTTACATACCGGGCATTCATCCAAATTCTCGTATTCATTGCCATGGTAGAGGATCTGATCATTAGGACATGCATGTATCTTCTGGATTTTTAATCCCAAAGGGCAGACAACCTTTTTTGCTTCGTACGTAGTGGTGGGCAATTCATTTGGCTTCGGAAGCATCTTCTTTATGAGGTTTAATAAATTCCCAAATGCCTTATCGGATACACCATTCTTTGCCTTCCACTGTAGCAATTCCAAATTGTTGTACCCGACTTTTTTTTGCCCCTCTTCGCCATCGGGTATAGCAACTTCCTATGATCCTCAAGCATGCGCCCAACTTAACTTTCTCTTTTCACTTTCCCATTCTTGTTGTGCATCACGAATGGCATCGCCAAGAGCATCACCGAGATCATCTTCTACCGCTACCTCTTCTTCATCTCCCCCATTGTAGTATCATCAAAGGCACCCAATCGAGCAATAATGTCATCAATGTCTAAATCTTCTCCTTCACCTTCTTCCATCATGACCCGCTTTCTCCATGCTTAGTCCAACATATATAGTTTGACATGAAACCCGACTTAAGCAAATGTGAATGAAGACTCATTGAGCTTGAATATTCCTTTAAATTCTTACATAGGGCACATGGACAAAGATATGAAACCATCCCGCTTATTTGCCTCGGCCACACCTAAGAAATAGTGCAAGCCCTCTATAAAGTCTTGGGAGCGACGATCGGCATTGTACATCCAATGGCGTGACATAATCAGTATTACACGACAAATTATGAAAACCTTGAACATAATTAAGTATTTTATTACACAACATAAATGACACACACGGTTGATTAATTAACTAAGCCTGGCTACAACGTAAGCAATCCCAACTATCACTAAACAAACTAAAACTACAATGCACTTCAGTAACATAATTATTTTGTGATCGACGCAACTAAAACAGACAAATCATTCTTCCGTTGAATATCAATAAGCTTCTCCTCTTTGGCTCAACGCCTCATCAATGACATCCGCTACCTCAAGCGCACCCAAATTCTCGCACGTATGTAGCATAATCTTCCTCCCAAGTACCAACCATCGCATCCATTGCCCTCCCAATTGAAATTAAAGCCAAAAATATTTAGTCAAAAATATTCAAGAAAAAGGGTCAATTAGCCATAATTATAAAATGCGTAAGAAACTCACATCGCGATCCGGGCACTTGTAGAAAACACGACCCTTGTTGGGTCCCTGTCTCTTGACTTTCGGTACTCCATCACAATCTTACGCTTACACTTGCCCGCAGATAATGAGAGGGAGTTCGGCCTCGATCGTTCAAGAACCGAACGAGAGGCCGAGGATCCGAAGAATAGATTGTCATCTACTTTCTATACTTATTTTTGCAAACTAGTGTAAATTTCATATTTTCAAATATTCATCAAATTATAGCTCAAAAACATGTTTCAATAAATAACCATCCGTATTAGTTGACCTTGCTTACGTGATCATCTCGACGAGCATTTCTCCACCGGACGGCACCGTGCTTGGCCAAGGAAGAGCTCGATTCTACGAGAAAGGGAACACGGTCTTCCACGACCGTTGCCGCCTCTCCTCGTGAGAATCAAAGCTCCTCCTTGACGTCCGTTACCGCTTCGGCGAGAGAACATGCTCGCCGACATGAACACGGTCCGCAAGTTCAACTAGTGCGGATTTTCTACAATTTTCTAACAATTTTCTAAGTTTTTCATTTCATGGAAAAATTAATTCTAAGATCACGTAAGCCATAGGGGGACGAGAATGGCGCGTGCTCCAAATGAGACGCAGCGAGGCGTGATTTTGATGAACTAATTTAATTTTTGTTTATCCAAACATATATGCAAATCATCATGTGATTTTGAGCTAAAAATGACATATAAAATCATAATAAAGTCCAACATATAAAGTTACACATGCATCTACATCGTAAAATGAGATAAGCTACTTGATAAAACATAAGAGGATTAAGTTTGTTACCTCCAAAATGAAGAGCAACACCAATGGAGGGGGAGAGTGCAAGAACAACAACAAAATTTGAAGAACAGAGGCAAAGTGAGTTTGAATAATGGAATGGCTCGGGCTCGGGAGGAAGAATTGAGCAGAATTATAGGCGGGATAATTAGTCCCGGTTAGTCCAAACGGGACTAAATATTAATATTTATTCCCGGGCATAACCCAAACCGGGACTAAAGCTTTAGTCCCGGTGGTATTACCAACCGGGACTAAGTAAACCTTTAGTCCCGGTTGGTAATACCAGCCGGGACTAAAGATCCCGCTTCATGGACGACCGTTAGGCGGGGACCTTTAGTCCCGGTTGAGTATTACCAACCGGGACTAAAGGGTCCTTTAGTCCCGGGGCAAAAAATGCCGAGGCTAATGCTAAATTGGGACATCGTTCTAAAGTCCATTCTCTAGTAGTGTTCATGCATGTGCCGCAAGATTTGATGTGTGAGGGGAATCTTGAAAATTTTTGGTTTTGGCTTAGAACTAAACGGGCCTGACAGTGGATGCATGCATGCTGACACGAAACCGGTTTTCATCTCGGTAAAGCTCACATCAGTCTGCCACAGAGCCCATGGTTTCCCATCCTGCCACGCCATGCAGTTTTGGACACTACTGAATTGTCATGTACCGTCACGACGCCAAAGCAACGCAAAGTTACCTTATTATTACACATCACCTTTGCATTAGTTTACACTTTAGAGAGACCATGGCATATGTTACTCCTACAACTTAGTTGTATATGTTTGTGTACGCTAATTGGCCGGAGAGAGCCCGTTGATTCATGGGTCGCGCCCACCGGATCTTTGGGCCACGCTGTTGGCGTTACACACGTGACGCACCGGGAGGATCGATTGCACGTAAACGACGCCACACGCCATCAAGCTTACTCAGCTTTGTCATAAAATAAAAGAAGAAAAAAGCTTTCTCAGACACTTTTTTTAGTCGCAAAAAGAAGCCACTTGGTTTTTTTTTCAACTCTGTTTGCTTGAGCTTATTCAACACTACTTTTCAGCCATGGGATAATATTTTCTCTCACAATATTTCAACATAAGCATTAGTATAAGCTAAATTTAAGAAAGAAACGTTTCCTTTATTTATTCATTATTATACTCCGTTCAGAATTCCAGATGTATGGAAGTGACAAATGATTGGGAATCATCAACCCCATACGCTTCGGCTCCGGTTCCAAGACGAATCTGGTGCAGTGCAGTGCAGCCGCCAACAAACCCAGTAGTAGTAACATCTTGTTAGTGAGTTCGTTAAGCACAGGGGCTGATAAACCTGGGTGCTAAACTGGACACCTCCTCATGTGTGGTGGTACTGTGGTCTAGAGGCCTGTTTCAATCACCTAGGATTAGTTGTTAGGTTCTAGACTATTTGGATCACCTATATGAGTATATGACTCGAGTCGTCGTTAATTTACAAGCTGCTACAACTAACTGTTAGACTGTCTTCAACAACCGTAACCTAAAATATAAGACATTAAATCCTTTGGATAGCGTTACAGGCAAATGGTTCAATACCTATTTTTGGTCTTCTCCAACAACAAGACCAAAAACATTATACCTTCTTAATTGAATTAATTAAGAACTGCATAATATTGCAAAAGGTTTCTTCTTTGAGGTGTTGATTGCAGTCTACCCAAGATATCCGGAAGAAGATTATAAATTGGGTTGCTTCCTTCAGAGGCCACCAATAAAAAAGATGCAAATTTGTTAGATAGAAGTGAAACTCTAGTATTCAAGTTAGTCAACCAATGTTTCTGACACATGTTTCCATACCTGTTTTTGACAACTCATGAAAGAAGAGTTTTGCCAGGCTTGATATCCTCTCATCTTCATCTTCTATTCTTACAGTCATTTCATTTATATACCCTTTAACCTACAAAAGATTTTCAAAGTGACTGAAAAATAACAGAATGGTGGGAAGGAGAGGAGCAGAGAGAGAGAGAGAGAGACCTTCATCATATCATTCAATATAAGATGAGAAATGACCAGCACAGCGTTCTTCCTCACTGACACTGAAGGATCACGTAACCGGGCATATATATACTCTGTCCAAGGTTCTAAGAGGTTTGGGAAGCGAACTGCTAAATTGCCAAGCGCTACGGTCCAATTGGATCGGACAATTTCAGAAGGTGCACTTTCAGCAACAGTAAACAAGATTTGAAGATTTGCTTCGCTAAAAGTTGAGTATTTAATGTGAGGGAGTGCTTTCATGAAATGCTCATCGGTCCACAGTAATGAGCAACTAGAGTCATGCGAAAGAAAAAAAAAACTTACCAGGACTCTGCATCGATGATCATTAGCCTGCAAAGAGCAAGCATTGCAGAAGCTTGTAGGTCTGGGAACTAGATTCAAAAGAGAAGAAATTAGTAACTGTAGATAGTAACAAGAAAAACATGTTTAAATGAAATACAGGAAGCCCAATAGACTATAAACCTTTTTGCAGCAATGTAAGATTCCGGCAGAGTTTTGAGAGAAATGGCCCACAAAGTCCTATGAGATTCTTTTCAGAAGAACAGCAAACAATTTCCTTTTCTGCTCTTTCAGCAAGGGACTCGATTGCAATATCTATGGTTGCACCAAGTCCCAGTTCGGCATTTATGCCTTGTGCCTGTTACACAATAAAGCACAACCTGAACTTAACTGAAACAATGACAAGTAAAAAGTGACAAGTTCAGAAAGGACAGAGATTTAGCAGTCAAGCCAGAATTACCTCTGAACTTTTAGACACGTCAGACTGGAGATCCTCAGTGGTGGACTGAGATTTTTCATTCTTCCGTATCTGTTTCTGAATTTTCCTAACGGAATTCTCAATGTACACCAAATGATTTAGTGCTATATGGCTAATAACAAAAAGAAATCTACCCAGCTTTGAAGGTGATACTGATGACAGAGAGGCATCATTCTCAGTTTCATCTCCATTTGACACATCCTCGGTTCCTAAAACACTGAATACAGAACTGAGGGACTTCTTTTGCAGTCTCGGTAGCAAAAAAAAATCAGGTGCAGGGTGTAGGGTATAGATGGTGCTTATAGCTTTATCTGCAGCTCCATACCATATTTTCTCAGGAATTGAGAAGCTTGTTACCAAACCTTGCAATGCAGCAAATACTCTACTATTAGTATTTATCAGTTTGCCCTTGTCTTCATCTGATAATCTCTGCAAAGCAAGACATGCAGTTCTAGCAAGCTGGAAACGAGGCTGGTCCTCCCAACGCAAATATCGCCGATTTCTTCCTCCTCGTGTCGCGCGTAGACAGCGGGGTAATGGTGACGTCGGCCGTAGATATTTTAGGCCGTAGCAGGTTAATGAAAACAGGGTCGTCCTAGAGAATTGTACCCGACGAGTCTAGCAAAGATGCCCCCGTCCCTCCTGACCTCCCTGTCCCTAACTGTGACTGTGGTCGTCCGGTCGACGTGTTTCAATTAAGACATCCAGACACAGCGGCTCGTTGCTTCTACACATGCAGTCGTTTTAATGTAAGTAATTGTTTCCGTATGTTTTTTTTTCTTCATTTGTATTACTAGGTTACTAATATTTTGTTGGAATTTTGTTGTGTAGGCCCATGAGAGGTGCTCTTTCTTTCAGTGGATCGACAGTGTGAGATAAGTTTGGCGCGGCGGGCCTCCTTTTCGACGATTGGTGGAGAGGGCGACATCCACGAGAGCACTTCGAGCGGTGGGTTCCACCTCCCCCTAACCCCCCTCCAATGACGGCTAAGGAGAAGCACTTAGGCGCAGTTAGACGACTCGAGGAACCTCCTCTGCATTCGATTGCGGAGACGAGTGTGATAAACCCCGAGAATACATTGGAGTTTGTGTGTCCAAACAAGCATGAAGTAAGTGCAAAGTATATGTGTTGAAATGTTGAGCTATATGTGTTCATGTACTAATGTCACCTTGTTTAGGGGTTTTCAATGGCGAAGTGTTGTTTCAAGGAGTGGTTGTATGGTCCTAAGAACCAATGGCCGGAAGAACCGCCAAAGGTTAAGGAAAAGAAGAAAGAAATGGTAATTTACAAAACACCTCCTGTCATGTGCGAATGTGGTGTTAAATCCAACTATGGCCTAGTCCCTTGAGCTTAGAATAGGCCATTATTGCACCATATGGTTGACTATAATGAGGTTGGTTATTGGTGTTGAAAACTGAAATTGTATTTTCGGATTTTTGAAGAATTATGATATAATTTTTCGTTTGAACAGAGCACTAGAAAATGCAAGTGGGAATCTTATGATGGTCAAGATAAGTTCTTGGATGACTTGAAGGGGACGCAAGTAATTGCGCGGAAGAGGGGATATGGACGTGACTATGTCGACCACTTTCTTAAACTATGAAAGAAGAACATGCGTGAGTTTGCTAGAAAGAGCGGTATTCAGAATCCGATCGATGTCGAAGCTTGACAAATGGGGGGACGGAGAGACGGAGGGCATTGGAGGAGGATAGGGCAAGGAAGGCTGCAATGGAGGAGGAAACAGTACAGATGCAGGTTTTGAACGACTATGTTGTTGTATTGTGTGCAAGTGAGTCATTGGAAGCCTTCTTACTTCCGTTGCCTGCTTTTAAATGTACTATAATCGCGTTGATAACTTATTGCATTTATACATGAAGGGATTGGATACAGCGGGGACTATGCCGCAGAGGTGGCCCGTGCAAGTTATGTGGAAAACAAGTTACATGAGCACAGAACCCGAGCTGGTCGCAGCGTTCTATGTCCGATTGTGTTGGACAATGAGGGGGACGAGGATAAGGACGACATTGGTAGGTTGAGCGATCTCATCGCTCTAGTGGAGGTGGGCTTACAGGTGGAGAAGGATGAGGAAGACACTAGCAGACTGAGCGAGCTCATCGCTCTAGCAGAGACAGGTTTGAAGGCGGAGGAGGATGAGGAAGCGTTCTTCTCTTAAGCCGTAGAGGCCGCTTACTATAGGCGACAGGCAAATCAGGGCAATACGGGTGAGCCTAGCCACATGAACGAGGAGAAAGAGAACGTGTTCTTGTCTCAGGCCACAGATGAAGCAGAGTTCGCTTACTACAGGCGAAAGGCAGATCAGGGCAATGCAGGTGACCCTAGCCACAACAACAGGGTTGTGGTAGAGGATTGGTACTTGGACGACGAGTTGCTTACTCAGTATGTTTCTGACTGAGGGTTTTAGATTGCGCCATCTGTTAGTTCCATGCTTTATTAATGATCAATGTAGCTATGTACTAGAACTTTCATTGTGTTGTCTTCTTTTCCATTTGAACTATTGATGTATTGTAACCATGTATCATGTACTCGGATTACCCAAGGTCGATCTTAAGTGATCCCATCCGTTTGTCACCCTCCGACCCATCCGTTTGTCGCTCTCCGATGCATCCAAGTTTTTTTAATAATAGCGAATGCGTTGAGAATTTCTAAAACGAATAAAATGGAGTGAAATTATTTCGAATACGGTTGGCTGGCATATATATCTTGCAGGTTTCCCATGTATTTTAAAATAGTAGCATGTAATTTATGTTATTAGCATCAGATCAATGTAAAATAACAATAATGTTATCACTTTACTCCAGCGTTCTTTTTTCATGAGTCACGTTTGGCACACAACCCTAAGCCCAGGTTCTGCCGCGCCATAGCCCACGGCGCGGCACTAACGTGCCAAGGCCCACGGCACGGTAGAACCTGGACGCAAGCAAAAGCCGACCAGCCTCAATTGCAATTGAATGGGAGCTGCTGTCGGTGCTTTAAACAACTACAAGTGCTTCCACGACGCATTGAAATGAATATGAAGCAAATAAATGAAGTCCGTGCGTAAGTTGACAAGTTGCCACATAACATTTTTATTGGTTCATGAGTCTGCAAGTTTCGGACGATAATATTCGTTCGACATAAGTTCGACATAACCAACTAAGTCCTAGGAGTGTAAGGATCCCTCGGACGCCTCTGTCTCTTCGGATTTGTATGCAACACATTGGGAGTGTAGCCAACGTCGGTGTGGTCGCGTTGCCGGTGCTTACGGCTCATACCCTACAACTATATGATATGCACGATTACTTATAATCTTTATGATCGTTAGTTCATGGAGCCTACGTATTTAAAGAAACTACCTTTGTTACTACCGTGAGGCTCCTTGGGTACCAAGCGGGCACCACCTATTTGAGACATCTTGATCTTGTCCTCGCTACCAAGGGTCCCCCTTGGTGGTCTTGTGTATGCGGAAGCTTAGGGGTCGTCGTCGTCATCGTTGTCCTCGTCGTCCTTGTTTGCAGGATCCTTCCCAGCGCTATAATGTGGTGGTGTACGCACAGTGGAAGCGGCACCTGTCACCAGCTAAGAGGAGCCAGCGGGTGTCCTCAAAGAGCCAGAAGACGTGGCATCGACATGGCCGGGTAATCGGGTTCCACCCAAGGAGTGTCCATGCAGCTCAACTTCGAGCTAGCTTCCTCTGACTCGCTTCACCTTACGCATGAATAGACGTTAAAGTTAGTGCATTTCCCTAACGCATATAAACTAAAGAAACATTTTTAAGCGGACAAGTTTATGTTTACCTCCACAAAAGCCTCAAGAACGCCTTTGCCCCCGCCTCTAGACTCGTGAAGTCAAACGCCGCTTCGTTGGACAGCCTTGACAATTGTGTAGCTTTGGGTACAAAAAGCGGTTGGATAGTTTTAGTACACATACTTAATACTAAATGGATAACAAATTGTACCATTCGAGTATCTTACCATGTATCTTTGAAGTGGGGCTCTCTATAGTTGTGTGTGGTCCCTAGTGGCAACGTCATTGCACATCTTCGATCACATCTTCCTCGTCGTCCTCGTCAATCGCCTCCTCAATGTATGGGGGCTTGATATGTGTCTTCGTGAGACTGTGAAGCCACATGCATACTACTCGTTGAAGGTGTCTTTGGTCGTGTGGGGGACCCGCATCGACCGGGTGTGTCGATCCTGATGCGCCCTGGCCTGGATGTACACGTTGTGTGTCACGCGCCAATCCTTGGTCTTGTACCTCTTCCTGCGGTCATACACCGCAACAAAACGATTGTTAGTTGTACCATACACACACCTCTGAGTTGTAGCTTTGTTATTAATCGATAACGCACCCGTGCAATTATTGGTTGGTGGAGTAAAGCGGTGGTGGGTAGCCTGTCATTCTTTCAAACTGCATGCAAACCCTGATGGGCAAGTGAATCTCGACCACGTGGAAGAAAATGAGAGGGACGTTGCAGCGATACTCGTCTGACTCATCCCTAGTGACAGGACTCAGATAGTCCTAGAGCTCTGGAGCATCCCAAGGACACCAATGCACCTGAACATTTCATAATTGAGTTAGGTTGTGATATAGTGTACATCGAACAAGACACATGTATGATAGTAAAGAGAGCGTAACCTGGTGCTATGTCAGGACGTCGAGACAGTCCATGTATTCCCTGTACTTGCGCCTCGCATTCCCTCTAACTAACTCTGCTTGCGTCTAGATATATAGAGCTGTAGGCAGTGTATCATGTCTGTTCCAATGCTGCATTGAACACGATAATGAATTAGCCATTAATAATTTCATCATATGTAACTGCCTCAAAGAATATAGTGAACCGAAGTACTTACAGGGAAACCGGTAACAAGGGGCCTCCCAACAAAGCCATCGTTCCTAACACCAAACACAGAGTAGGTAGGAGCAACCCCAAGGTTCGCATACCCTAAGGTGCGACGATAAAGCAACGCATAGCTGTCGATACGTCCATGCTAGGACTACGCTACCCTAGCTGTACGCCGCTATGTTATCCTACGGCTGGCGTAGTATGTCAAGAAAGATCCAGCTGATGGTGTTGCCTAAGGCGTTTGGGAATAGGAAAGCACCAAGGAAGTGTCAGAGCCACACCTAGTGAACCTATCGATCTAAGCCTCATCAGCCTGTGGGTCCAAGTAATCAAAGCGCTCTGTGATCTATGATGATGAAACATCAAAACTTTTCTGAAATTCACCAAAGAAAATGAGACCCGATAGGCTGCTGGGGAAAGCAATGCAAGTATTAAATAGGCTTGAATTGCTCACTTATTTTTTGGAAACCTCATTGTCCGGTGGAAGAAATCCGAGTGAATGAGCCACCAGCTCCCAAAGTGATCGTTGCCAACTATACATCCATCGCAAGTCCCCCCAACCCGAAGGGCAAAGATAGCCTTCACGCCCTGCATGGTCAAGGTCATCTCGCCGCGCAAAGGTAGGTGGAGCGATGTGGGTCTCGTGCCTCCACCTGTTATAAGAATAGAACGATTGTTAGTTACCTCAAATTTGTTATAAGAATGTTTACGTACAATGAAGACACTCGCACCTATCTACAGTTGCAGTAAGTAGTGCTGGGTCAAGGGGCGGAAGACCGTAGTTGACAACACGGACAAGCTCGAGGAAGTCGACACGTCATATGTACGACGCGTAACGCTCGTCCCACTGGTGCGCCCTAGTGTGCGTGCGGGGCCTCAAAGGAGGCAAGGGCACCTCTGCATCGGTGTCAATCAAGAAGTGTGCTCGGTGCGGGTCGTCGTACTCCACCTCAAGAAGGGGGTATAACTGGTGCTACGTGGGAGGGGCCATCCTGTTACAAATTGATAAACAAAGGGTTAGAGTATTCAAATTAACAATATTCAAATTAACATTATGTAGCATTACAAAATTTGAACTACTTGTTATGCAATACTAACACAATATGAAAGCACATGTATATATTCAAAGTAACATTAACAAACATATTAAACAACTTCACTAGGAAAATAAGCAACTTCTATGTATGGACCTGCTGCCTCATCTTCTATACTGCTAGCCTTGAGACCAGGGTCTTTGTAAATGGAGCAAAGATTCCTTCCACGGGTCTCGTTGAATGCTCCCCCTCCGTACTTGTCTTCGCCGTACCCTCTCATAGCGTTCATGTCCCCTTTGAGTTGCTTCTTCTTCCTCCTACCCTTCCCTACCTTCATTAGATCCAGATGCGGCACATAGGCATAACCATTATAAGGTGGCCACTGTGTCGGGTCAAGGTATAGCTCGAAGCCCATCTCCCAAATACTAACGGTGTTCGAACGGAGATACAAGGGTGACATATATGGCAGATCCTCATAGTTCTACCCACGAACCCTGCAGGCCGTGATCATATGAGAGCAAGGGGTATGCATGATTTGAGGGACGTTGCAACTGCACTCTACCTTTTCAACATCAACTCGGTAGTTTCGTCCATCATAATATTCGCCACCCAAGCTTGTGCCACCCTTGCCCCATACACTAAAGATATGGTGGCGGGGTCCATACGGCTCAGCGGTGTGCTGCTTGGCCAATTCCTAGGCCTCCTTCAAATGTTCTGCTCCGGCCTTTCCAAAACGCCCCTGCTCAGCTATACTCCTCTGCACAAGTTCCCACCCCTTGATAAAATATTCGTTGCACTTATGAAAGGAGAACTCAACAATTCCAGACACAGGCAATGATCGAACTTCGGTGAATACATGGTTGAAGGACTCCAAGGAGTTAGTGGTCATGATGCCATACCTGAAACCCCCCTCGTCATATGCTAACGCCCACTGAGCCTTCGGTTCCATCTACGCCTCTAACTAGGCCTTTCCCGCTTCATTTAGCATCTTGCCTAGTTCTCTCTTTATCTCCTTGAACTGGTGCTCTGTACGTACACAACATAGAGCCTTTACCTTGTCACATACCTCCTGCTTCCTCTAACACCGCAGAAATTAGCGGCAAAGTGTCTCATGCACCATCTATGCACTAGAGGCGGGAACCCATCTATATGCTTAGCTGCAGCATTAAGAAGCCCTGGGTGATAGTCTAAGATCAAACATATAGTGCGAGATGGGCCAAGCACTTGTACACGTAGAAGCCGCATGAACCATGACCATGATTCATTGTTCTCTCCCTCTGCCAAAGCAAAAGCTATGGGTACTATCTGGTCCTCAGGATCAATAGCAGCAACCATCATCAAGGTGCCCATCAACAAATACGATTGGACGACAAAACTAGAATGCATATTCCGTTTTGTACGAATGACCGTAACACACGATAGAGGACATGCCTCAATGGGTCCCAAAAATACATCCCTCCGGTGTCCACAAACCATTTCAAGCCAGGGTTATAGTAATGCATTGCACATAAGATGCGGGGCACCCTGTTGTACGCTTCCTCCCAACTATCCCATCGAATCACTAGGGCAATTTTCTTAGCACGCCAAGCCTTTTCGTACTTCACATCGTACTTAACGAATCCAGATATGGATTGTTGTAAAGAAGACACCGAAATGTCGTTATTGTCATCAACGAGCCCCAATATACGACGGGCAAGGTAACGTGCAGTGAGTTGCTGATGATTT